CTCCACCTTTCTCTCTTTCTCTGTCCCCTCTGTCACCCATCCTCTCCTCCGCCTTTCTCTCTTTCTCTGTCCCCTCTGTCACCCATCCTCTCCTCTGCCTTTCTCTCTTTCTCTGTCCCCTCTGTCACTCATCCTCTCCTCTACCTTTCTCTCTTTCTCTCTGTCTCTTTTGCTTCTTAAGCTTGTGATCAATGAACTTCAACAAGTTCCTGAACACAATTGTTCACACAGTTGAGAATGGGCAGGGGCACATGATAAGGGCCTATGGCACCCACAGGATTCTCAGAGACATAAGGAGCCTTGTTGATTTGTCACGTGGTCATGGAGCACCACATAGCAATGGGACCCTGAAAGCCCAGGCAGAGGCTCCACCTCCTGCCCTGTACCTCAGAGATTTTTAATCTGCAACTTACCACCTCAGTCCTCCAGGTGGAGGAGGGATTTCCCAGCAACCCCTGTGCCCTCCAGTTGTTGGAAATTGTGCCTGTGTAGGGGTGTCTAGGGAAGGCACACTATCCCCTTGAGTGGCCCATTTCCAGAAGTTAAGTAACATGGGCTTAGAAATTCATGGAGTATCTCTCTGAGATGGTTCCTCTAGAACTGATTTTATGACCCAGATTTCTCCAGAGCAGCTTTTGATGGCTGATCTCACTCTCAACGCAATGCCCTCATGCCTGGAGTTGGTGATTTGGACACTGTTCACATCTCTTTGGCTCTGTCACTGTGTCTCTATCTCTGTCTTCTGTCTCTCTGTCTCTCTCTCTCCTTTCTTCCATTACGGACTACCTGAATCTGTTCCTATCACCTCTATTAGTCTTTTGATTTATTCCACCTACTTGTGTCTTTCTAAATTCCCTAGATACCATCTCAGCCCCTCCCCTTTCTGTCTAAGGACACCTTGTCATGTGTTCCTCTGTGTCTTCCCTCGAGTTCCTTTATCTATTTCTAGTTGTGTCTCCTGCCCTTCCTTCTCTCCCCCTCCTCTCTTCCTGTCTTCCCCCTTCACCTCTGGTTCCTCACCCTTCCTTCTCTCCCCCTCCTCTCTTCCTATCTTCCCTCTTCACCTCTGGTTCCTCACCCTTCCTTCTCTCCCCCTCCTCTCTTCCTATCTTCCCCCTTCACCTCTGGTTCCTCACCCTTCCTTCTCTCTCCCCTTCTTCTCTTGGAGTCTTCCCCCTTCACCTCTGGTTCCTCACGCTTCTTCACTGTCTCATGTCCACACTTGGAATCCTTCCACATATCTCCACCTATTGCAGCTTCCTGGTGTCCTCTGTGTGCCTCTCTTTATTGGGATCTGTTACAATGTCCTTATCGTTCTATTATGTATTTGTCTCTGTCCCTTTTCTCCACAACCCCGCCTTTCTAGACTTGGGACTGTTATATGGACAATTTGGGAGCCGGGCTGAGCCTAGGGTCACTGAAGTCACTTGGACACTCAAGACTAGACAACTCATAGTTGACACATGGCTCAGCAGGAGAGCACTTGCCTAAAATCCCTCAGTCAGAGGATGAGAACAGAGAGGCTCCACAGGGAAGCATCTTCGAGAATGCAGGAGGAAGAGGCTGGAGGTGTGAGCTATTTCAAAGAGAACTTGCTTAACACACACTCAGCCCTGGGTCCCATCCCTAGCATGAGGACATGGTGGGAGGCACAGCTAAAAGATAAGGAATTGTTTCTAGAATGTGTCTTTCTCCAAAAGACAAAAACATGAACACAAAGTTTCCATGTTTACATCCCATAGAGTCTATTAAATTGAATTAAATTTGGCTGGAGGCAGCTTCTGTATGTAACAAACTAACCAAACACAAGAGGCAACTGAACTAATAACAACTTGAGATTATATGCTGTGGGATGTTAATGTATGTCCTGTGGGAGCCCTTCTTGGGTTCCTTGTGGCGTTACCCAGCAGGTTTGCATAGAGGATGATTAGGACCATGGGCCTGAGTGCAGGTGTCTGAGATGGTCTGCACTTGGCTGTACTGGGGGATGGTC